ACGAAAACAGTTTCGAGATGGTTTGTGGATAAAATTCGATGGTAGTGGACAAAAAACACTAACTATACCATCAATTTTAAATCAAGGGTATAACAGTTATTTCACATCACATGAACAGTGATTTGTGGCAGATTTTCGAGGGTTCAAGAAAAAATGATATTTTTCGAAGATTTATTTAGAGAAATGACATTTTTGACAAAAAAATCCCAATTAAAAATTCATCATACTTTTTTTTGTCGTATTCATCATACTTTTTGGACTCTGACTTCGGAGTAAAATCGAGTAAAGCAAATTATTTGACTCAGAATATATGTTTTTTTTCTTATTAACTGATTTGTTTTTTTTTCAGCTGAAAAAATTACTCTAAGAATGTTTTACCAACCAGCGAGTGAAGAAATTCACAATGGAAGATGAAAACCCACGTGAATGTCTGTGTCACGTTGGAGAAGAATAGAATATCACATTATCGAGCTAACTTTTTTTTATGTCATTTTCTTCAACTGAAATGCCCCTTCTAAAGTATTGTTAAAACTTAAAAGGAATTCATATATTTATATCTACTTGATTTTGACCCGAACCCAAGCGCAGAATAAATAATTAGATTGACTAATCAATTGTAACATATATATTTTTAATATTTAAACATGTATGCCAAATCATATGATTTTTAATATCTATAAACGTACAAAAAAGATATGTAGTATGCATAAATATAATAAAATTGAATACTTATTATCAAGCATATGTTGATGCTATTAGTTTTGATTTTTTAAATTGTTATTTATTTCAATATCTTTAAGTGTAAATATCTCATTATATTTTAATTAATCTTTATGTTTTTTGTTAAGCTTTATAAAAATGATCAAAAGACTAAACCTTTGCATTTTTGTTTGCTTAATTTATAACGCTAATACTCATTATAGAAACCGTGACGATATACTTATCATCATTCTTTAATAAGCGATAAAACAATATAACATCATTCGAAATAATATGCTCATATAGCACTTATCCGAACAATCATATCTATTTATAACACTTTATGAGATTCATTTGCGCACATAACACTTTTAAGCAAAAAAATGACCAAAATATCCTCACGCACGGCATGTACGATGATTTTGATGAGGGTGGACGAGGCGCATAGACAAGAGTGTACATGTACATTTCTTTTTTTAATTTAATTATATAATAAATTATATTTGCTTTATTTTTTTCTACCTTTCTTTTGTTTTCTATTTTATTTATTTCTTTGATCCAAAAATTATCGAATTCACTAATTTATATAAGTATTTTTTAATCTTCGTCTTTTGACATCCATATTACCATATATATTAAACATGCTAATTATGTTTAAATTCGTAATTACTTATCTTGTAAAAAATAAACGTGTACATATTCATAACAAAACGTCGTTCACAC